AATAACTAAATATTTTCGTTTTGGGTTAAATTTTTATTATATTATGACATAGTAAACAACATAACATTTTCAATTTCTTTATAGAAATTTTTCCATGTATACACCTATATTATGATACATATATATATATATATATATATTAAACTATTAATGGCATCCTTTCACCAAAAATTATGTAAGTTGAGTTTTAAGTTTAAGTATCTATTATTTCATAGGAAAATGATATATTTACTGAAAAAAAAAATAGTGAAAAAAGATAGTGAGTGATGTGCCTTATTCTTGGCCCTTAGTTTTTTGGCACTTCCCGTTAAAATTTTATCTTGCCCTAAAGAATTACTTTTTTACCCTTTATTAATAAATACACATATTTAGTGAGGATGGTGTATTTGTCTTTTCATTAGTCACTATAATATTTCACAATAATTAGTCACTATCTCTATCATTGCTCTATTTCATATATAATTATATACTAGAATAAAAACATTTAAGCATATATTATATACTAATGTTAATCTATGTATAAATGAACCTCAATATTCATAAACTGAATTTACAATGTTATATAATAAACTTTTTTAAATTTTTGATATAAATCAAAACATAAAAAATTAAAATTTTTAAAAAATAATAAAAGAGAGGAAAACAAGGATGTTTTACGTGTTACTTGTTTGTGTATTAAGTGAGAATTTTAAGTATCATATTAATAATTCTTATACATAATAATATTTTTTTTGTTTCCAACGAAAATGTGTGTACATAATAAATTACAAAATTGATATAGCAAATTAATTAAAAATAACAATTTATTTTAACAAAAAAAAGTAAAAATTGTATTAGTTAAACAACCACAAAGTAGTCAAATATACATGTATATAATGAATTTAGTTATTTTTTGTGTTATACATATCTATGATAAAATAAGTTTTTTTTTTTAGTTTTTGACAAGAAGTATAAATTGTACTAGTTTTAGTTATACAATAATAAACTAATTTCAATTCTAAAGTATCCAAATTTGTATGCATCCAAACACAAGAATTGGAATTAGAACTTTAATTCTTGTAAATTTTCAAGATCTCCCGTACAAAGGAATTGAGATTGAATTACAATATTAATATCTCATTTTCAATTCAATAGTATTGTAATTCTAATTCAATTGCAATTCAATCTAACCAAACGGAGCCTAACTATATATATAAAATATTGTCAAAAGCAAAACGGAAACGATGATTAAAATGAGTAAGCCAAATCCACGCACCTTTTTTGCCAAAGTAATAAGGCTCATTAAACAAACTAAAACATGTTGAAGCTTAATTGATTTGATTAATATATTATACTCTAATTTAAAGACAAAATCGGACTAATGCGCAAGGCTAAACACGGCTAAACACGAAAAACGCAAATGCGCAGCAGGGATCTTTGACGTGCTATGTATAATAGACGAACCAAAGCGTTGCATACCTCACCCAATCACACAATCAATTTCTTCAGTTTTGAAAATACCTCAAAAATACGTGGCCAAAAAGAAAGAATTGCTTTGAAAGGAGAAGTTTGACGGGATTTGCGAGGTGATTGTCACAGAATTACATTGGTTTCGTCTTGATAATTACATTGATTTGGAGAAGTACTTTATGCTTATTGGAAATTTTTTTTTCGTGGATAAATTAATGAGTGCTTTATGCTATAAATCATAAAATACAACTAAATGAAAACCGCACAAAATTTATTTTTTGTATATACAAAATAAATTTACAATTACCATAACTTTACAATTTTACATTAAAAAATTTACCATTAAATGATGGAATGATGTGGTTGCGACATGTGAACTTGGCTATCTAATTTTTTATCATGTGGATTACCCTATCTAGTTTTGCGCCATGTGTACCATTGAAAACTCTCCTTTAATAAATTAGAGATATATAGATTAGAGGACATATTAGTGTCATTTTTCTTTTCATGTTATCCCCCGTCCAATAAACGCCCGTAACTTGTAAAAGGCATATCTTGCTGCGCTCTTTTCCAAGGGGAATAAAACAATAATGTTGAAGAAATTGAATCGATTAAGGAATAATAGTATTGCCAAGGGCAATTGAACATTTTACTTAAAATGTGTCTCATAATTATATGTATATTAGGACATTTGCTAAGAAAGTATCTTATTAAAAATTAAAAAAGTGTGTTCATATTATGAAACACTATTATAAGTGTATTATTTAGGTTGTTTGTGATTTGTGAACTATTAACTTATTTAATGGATCATTTTAAAGTGTTTTATAAAATGACAATCGAATAATACACTTTCAAATATTTTATAACTTATTGTCACTCGATTATAGTAGACACTATTTAGTAGTGTCACATACAATTTAAATCACATGTCTTATTACACCACTTATTGAGACACAAAAAAGTATCTCAACTACTCATTTGTTGTAGTGCATCTCCCGAGCATGGCAGCCCGCCCGACCTAAAGATGTTAAAACTGATCGAGATTAGTATAAGTGTTTTACGTGCTCACCTTAGATTATTTACTCCTAGCTCCTATAAACAAATTAAAAACAAAAAGGAAAGAAAAGAAAAGAAAAGGTCTTGCTTTATATATTCTGCTTGGATAAAAAAAAACTATCCACTCATTCCCTAATAGATTCTTGATGCCCAAGAAAAGTTTTCTCCTCCAATCCTTCCTTTTACCCTCTGCCACCCTTTAGTCCAAGTACCACAATTATGCCTTGAAGAGTGAGCCGTGCGCCATTTTTTATTTATTTTTTTCTTTTTTTTGTTGCCATGGACTAGAGTTGTAAAACAAGGTAATCAGAAAGATAGGAGGAAGAAGAAGACCAAAAAACCAGAGAATAATTTTCTTAGATCTGAGAATCAAGAAGGTGAGTAACCGTCTTTTTCATTATATTAGCTTAATCTCATGAAGTGTTCTGTACAAGTCTATTTATACTACCACTAATCTATACATACAGCTGTAAATATGTACAAAACAGAAGATCTTTCCAGATCCTTCAAGGCGGTTTCCAACTCATGGTTTTCGTGATGAGCACGCTGAGAGATGACGTAGAATTAACACAAGTGGATGAAGATTGCTGACGATGGATGGCTGGAAGCTTCTCTGAATTCAACGCAGAAACACAAGGATTACTGCCTGGATGAGTGTCGTTGCTTAAGTGTTCATGTAGCTGAGTTGGAGGCGTGTTTCCACTGTTTGAAGACACGACCATCAGAAGAGGCTTAACTGAAGAAGGCGTGGTTTTGATTTCCTTCAAGTTGGAGAATTCAAAATGACTTTATATTCAAATGCTGTTAAACTCCTCATTCCAAAGAGATCACGGGAATTTGAAGAAATTCACTTTAGAGAATTAGCAAGGAACACATTATTTCTATATCAATAAAAGAAAACATGTTGAGGTCGTGAGTAGGTTAATTGTTCCATGTCGGTATATAGGGGCAATAAACAATTAATAAGTAAGTTGGTCATAAAATTTATCATCTTGAAATTTTAAGTTGAGTTAAGTTCTTTCTTACTTGTTGGGTTCAATATTAGAATTCTCTGAATTTTATCTCCCAGGCCGAACACCTCACAAAACACGTGGAGTGTTGATATTTGTAAGTAGACTTTGTCAAGTTAGACATATTATTAATGAATCAACCAAATTAAACCCGCAATTTCCCCATATATATAAATAATATCACTCTAAATATAGGCCAGAGCACGATGTGTTGGTCATTGTTTGGTCCACAATCTGCCTCAAATTGAGAATGAGGAATTAAGAAAACTTTAACTTAAAAGGACAAAGAGGTGGCACTAAATTCATCCACTGATTCACATGGGAAAAAAAAAAAAGGATAATCACCACTGATGAAGCTACATGAATCGGTCGAGAAAACGGCTGAATATTAATTTGTTCCATATTCACGAATATATGTTGAGAATACATATCGCAAGTGAGTTGATTGCCTTTAAAAAGAAATACGACGAAGACCTAACAATTTGATCAAATACTAGAAGGCAAACATATAGGGAAACTGGCACTCAATTTTAGCCACATACATGGGAGTATTGCTAAAAGCAATTAATTGTGACTTCTTTTTTCTATTTTTCTTTTCAACGATGAAACAAGCAATAACCTAGAAAACGAAACTATCATTCAATGGATAGAAATGTGTCGACAAACTCGTATTTTAACCACGTGAATGAGATTTTTTTAAAAAAAAAAAAAAAAACTTTGAACATATTATAATTTCCCTAACATATACTTATTTATTATCAGCATTTCGGTACCTATAAAGACCCCTCCATGAATGCTTATAATTGTCACCTTTTCAATTTGTAGAAATTAGACAAGGTACAAAAAAAAGTTATCAGAATCAAAACAGTCATCACGTGGGATTTTCAATCCGTCCAATCTTTAAGGGAAAGTAAATTCCCATTGACTAGTGTAACAAGGTATCAGTTCTATATATAAATTGAACCCGAAATAGGGGAACTTTGTACCGAATTAGAAACCTTTAGACTCAGCGTTATTAGGGTACGTGGACATCTATCAAAGTTTAAAGAATTATACTCGAGAATCATACAATAAAAAACCAGCTGGGTACCATCATACGATTACGACTTGATGTTGTAATAGTCTATGCATGTCGTATTAAAGGGGAAAAACACCGAGAAAAAAAAACTATGAAAATGTGTTAAGATTCGGAAAGAATGCATATCAGATTCAAGTTTTTGAATGCCAGTTATTCATGCAAATGTGTTCGTTCAAATGAAATAACAGGTCGACTTATAAAACTTTTTCCCAAAACCCCACAGCGAAAGATTCCTCTGGTGCATATATTCTGCCATGAATAAATGTATGGTGAATCATATTTAACTCGTGCCTATTTTTATAAGTTAATAATGATATCTAGAAATAGAAAGTAGTGTAGAAATTTTATTCCTTTTCCATTTAATTTGGTTAGGGTATTGTGTCATCTCAAACTGTCACCAAATTCCTCTAAAAATATATAAATCCGAGAGCCATTCTCCATAAGTCACATAAGTGATTTCTGGAAATCCTGAAACTTAGTAGAAAAATTTCACTACGGAAAAGAGAAACACACACACACACACAAATGGAGAAACGCCATTTTCTCATTGTTACATATCCAGGCCAAGGCAACATAAATCCAACCCTTCAATTCTCCAAACTCCTAGCCAAATATGGTGTTAGAGTCACCTTTTCCACTAGTTTCGCCGCGATACGTCGCATGAGCAAAATCCGATTCTCATTACCTAAAAACTTAACCATTGTCCCATTCTCAGATGGTTATGATAATGGCTGGGAAGATTTTACTACTTACTATACTTCTCTAGTAACCATTGGCTCCCAAAACATTGAAAAACTCATCATCAATCAAGCACAAGAAGGCCATCCAATTACTCATCTTGTTTACACCACCATGATGTCTTGGGTTGGTGAAGTTGTTCAAAAATTCAATATTCCATCAACACTTCTTTGGATTCAGCCGGCTTCCATGTTTGATATTTACTATTTTTACTTCAATGGTTATGGCAAAATTATTGCAGATAGTGAAAAGACTAATGATTTGGTCGAATTGCCCGGGCTGCCACCGTTAACTTGCAGGGATTTTCCTTCATTTTTATTCAAATCCAGCCCTGACATTTACGGCATTTCTCTTCCTTCAATAAAGAAACATTTTGAGGTACTTGAAATGAATGGCGATTGTCCCACTATTCTTGTTAACAGTTTTGATGCTTTGGAGCCAGAGGCTTTAAGGGTTGTTGACAAATTTAAATTTGTTGCAATTGGACCTTTGGTTCCTTTAGCTTATCTAGATGGGAAAGATCCTTTAGATGCATCATTTGGAGGTGATTTGCTTCCCAATTATGATGGAGACTCTGTAATTGAGTGGCTAAACTCAAAGCCTAAGAATTCTGTTGTTTATGTTGCTTTTGGGAGCTATTGGGATTTGGGATTGAAACAAATGGAAGAGATTGCAAAAGGGTTGTTGCAGAGCAAGAAGCCATTTTTGTGGGCGATTAGAAAAGCCAAACATGGTGAGAAATCAGGGGAGAAATTGGGATGCAGAGATGAGTTGGAAAAACAGGGGAGGATAGTTGAATGGTGTTCACAAGTTGAGGTTTTGTCACATTCATCTGTGGGTTGTTTTGTGAGTCATTGTGGTTGGAATTCTTCCATGGAAAGCTTGGTTTGTGGGGTGCCAGTTTTGGGTCTTCCTCAATGGACAGATCAAATGACAAATGTGAAGCTGATTCAAGATGTTTGGAAGACTGGGATTAGGGCTATGGCTAATGAAGAAGGGATTGTTGAAGGTGATGAGATTAGGAAAGGGATAAAAATTGTTATGGAAAGTGACGAGATGAGAAAGAATGCTGGAAAATTGAGAGATTTGACGATTGAAGCTTCTAAAGATGGAGGTTCATCCAGTGTTAATCTTAAGGCTTTTGTTGATGAGGTTCAAGCTATGAATACCTAATATATGTTGTGTTCCTTTACATTGATCATTTTCTAGTTTTTGTATCCAACTGACGAATGTAACATATAGTATGTATCAAAGATCTAATCAATGTCATGCACTAGTAGTTTAGTGGTTTCGTATTCCATCCATCTCAAAAAATAATCTATATTATAAGTTGTGAATTATACTATAAATAATATAATTCTCAAGTAACAAAGTATTTCTTTTCTTCTCAAAGTCAGAGTTTTATTTGTTAAATTAATATAGACTATATAGTACAATAAGTTATACTATTAATTTTGGACAGAAGTAGTAGCCTATTATCAAAAGCACGAATTGAAGCAATTATTCTCACTGTTTAAAGTCCACAAAGCAATTTCAAAGGCAACTAAGAGATACCAACTTTAGGTGACGGGAAAAATTCAGAGTATTATCAAAAGCACAAATTGAAGCAATTATTCTCACTGTTTAAAATCCATAAAGCAATATCAAAGAAAACAAAGAGATACCAACCGGTGACGGGCAAAAATTCTGAGAAGCTAATCTGTTTGGTTGGTTTTTCTCATAGTAAGTATTCCATCCAAGCATTCTTTTATACATTTCAATTCACCATTTTACATTCCCAGTAGAAAATACACGTGAAAATACACATAAAAGGACCATTCAAACACTTATAAGAATAAATTCAGGTTGGAGTCGCTTCACTTGAAAAAAGCCAACATTATGAAAGAAATCCTAGAAGAACGCAATAAACCAGTTAGGTGACCGCAAGGCTCATCTACATCGTACGGTAAAACGTCGGTAAATAATAATCTATAAATTAATAATTTCTAATAATTAATAATTTTCTCCGCTCCTAACTTGGGACTAGTACAAAAAATAGAAAAAATTGATAAAATGATAAGATAATAATGTTTCAGAAAATCTCCTATATATCTATAGGTCCCAATGATACCATAAATTAAAAATATCCTAACAACAAAAAATATTAATAATTACTATAAATATTTAATAAAATATGAACTGTACTTATTTTTTAGTCCCGAAAAATGATATGAACTATGTATGTGTATTTTTAGTGTTCAGATAATTTTAATATTTGATTGATTCAAATGTAAAGACAACTACAAATTAAGTAATTTATTGACGGTTCTTTTTTTCTCATACAAATTCTTTAAATTAATAATTTATTAATTTATCGATTATTTAATAATTCACTAAATTCATAGATTTTGGTGGTCCCAACACTATTAATTTATAGAAGTTTTTACTGTATTTTGGAAATTTTTAAGTACTTCAAAGGTGCCTATCAGTTTTCCTTTGCCCTTGTAACTTGGAAGCCATGCGGTATTGAGGTTTCTAGAAGCAATGGAAGAATTACGAAAGAGAAATCGTATATCGAATCGTAGTACGGAGGAGCATCATAGAATGAGTCTTGTTTCCTGGGACACTGTTTGTACGCCCAAGTTGGAGGGTGGGCTTGGTCTGCAAGATTTGAGAAAAATGAACAAAGCATTGTTGATGAAAATGGCTTGAAAACTTCTAACGAAACCTGATTCATAATGGGCTAAGGTGTTGATTGCTAAGTACGGGCTTGAACCAAGTCGAATGATGGATGATTTTATTTGGCTGCCCGAATCGGTGAACGTCCGTAGTTTGAAAGCAGTATGGCCGCATGTTGTTGATGGAGACGAACTCGATTCTGGTGGGATAGATGGCTGAATTTTGATGCACCACTAGTGTCGTTTGCCCGATCGCCAATCCCGGAGAATCAGATTGATGCGACGGTTTCAGAATTCGTAATCCCTGATGGAAGCTGGAATTGGATGGTGTTTCAGAGCTTGTTGCCGGCAACATTTTTATTACGAATTGCCGCCGTCAATGTTCCGACTCAAGGTGCTGGTGAGGATCGCATTTACTGGGGTTTTTCGGAGGATGGGAAGTTTTTAACACGGTCGGCATACAGGTCTTTGGCACCTTCTCCCGTCACGGACAATAGCCGACTATGGAGATTGATATGGAAGTGGACAGGTCCCCAACATGTTCGCCATTTTCTTTGGCTTGCGGCGAAGGATAAGCTGCTGACAAACGATGAAAGGAATCGTCGCCACATCTCCGATAATTCTGATTGTCACTTCTGTGGAGCTGATCGGGGATCAGTCTTGCATGTACTTCGCGACTGCCCGGCAGCGAGGAAGATTTCGCGTCGACTAGTGCCTGCGAGTAGACAACAAATTTTCTTCACTTTGCAGGTGGAGGATTGGCTCTGGCATAATCTAAACAGGAAGAAGGCTTTCCTGAGGATTGGGATTGTTATTTTGGGGTAACAAATGGCAACTATGGTGCTGGAGGAATCGGCGATTTTTTGAAAGGGTTGACGGTGGTGAAGTACATCGAGTGGCGGAGATTGTGAAGATAGTCGGAGGAATTAAACAAGATTATAGATATGAGAAATCCATGCGTGGAGCTTGTGTTGAGTGGACTCCCGCCACCGGTTGACTGGGTGAAGGTGAATTCCGATGACAGCTTTGATCAATCGGTGGGGGTTGGTTGTGCGGGAGGAGTTGTTCGTGACTACCATGGTAGATGGTTGGGGGGTTTTATGATGAAGGTCGGGTTTTATACCATTACTGGTGCGGAGCTTTGGGGTTTATTTCAAGTCCTAGTACTAGCATGGGACCTTGGTTATAAGAATGTGAAGGCGGAAGTGGATAGCTCAAGTGTTCTGCTGATGGAGAAGGGCGACGAGCAAGTTTTAGGGATTCATTCGGGGATTGTAAGCGGGATTCGGGAATTACTACATCGTGATTGGATCGTAGAACTTGATCATGTTTATCGGGAAGCGAATTTCGTGGCTGATTAATTAGCTTCTTTAGCAGTTTCGGGCCCGGTAGATCTGTAAAGATTTGAGGCACCACCGTCGAGTGCCCGGCCATGATTGCAACATGATGTATTAGGGGTGGCATATCCCCAAAATGTAAGAATTTAGGCTTTTACCTCCTGTTTCGTACAAAAACAAAAAATATCGAATCGTAGTTTCTTAAAACCATTTCAGTACGTCCCATATAAGTAGTTTACTTTGTGAAACATTTTAAATCAATAAATAAATTATGTTTTTTCAGTCATCAAATTATTATCCATTTCAGTTTTTACTTCCAATAAAATTTGTATTAAAAATAAAAATCAAAACTAGATAATTATTTCATGACGGAAAAAGTATATTAATGTGGAACAGAGGGAGTGAAGGTTAGAAGAAAGTTATACCTCAGTTATAAGACTCTTTTCATCATAGGCATCTATCACTTCTGAATGAGGAGCAATCGCTTTTCTTTTCTTCTGGGACAGACCAAGATTGGGAACTAAACATGTTTACCCAAATGATTATAGGCATGTTTACCGCGAACAAAAATAATAAAAGTCATTGTAGACAATATCAGCTTACAGCAGAAAAATTTGTTTCCCAGAAGGCATAATGCTTGATAACATTTTTTGTTAAAAAAAAAAAAGAAAAAAAAACGCCTACCATAGATTCACCCTGGGGTGGCTCTCCCACTAGGCAAAACAGGCCATCGCCTAGGGCCCCGAAATCGGGAGGACCCCATATATATATATATATATATATATATATATATATATATATTAACTAAACTTAGTGTTAATAATTATTGGTAGAAATGTAAAATTCATAGAAATTAAGTGACTTTTGAAAATGTCAAGAATTAATGAAACTATTACACCCCTTGAGATTTTTAAAACTGATTATTTTCTTTACGTAGTTAATAAAGCTATATATCTCATCATTATAAAGTAGATTTAAAAATTTTAAAATAAACGTTAGTATTTTTAGTTTTCTATTTATTTTGGAAAAATTATAAGTACTTGATGACAAAAAATTAGAAACAAATTGTCTTAATCTTCAAAACTCCTTAAAACACAATAATATTTTAGATATTGACGGTTTAGATATATTTATGAACTAAAAATTTAACGGATAATGTATATATTGAGAATAATAATCCAACTGATATACTTAATTATATTAGAAGACTTAATTCTTTTTTAATTTATTATGAGATAATGTTAACTATTATTTGTGTAACAGTTAGTTCAATAGAAATAAATTTTTTAAAACTTAAATTAATAAAATATTACTTAAAATCGACAATGTCACAAGACAGATTAAAATGGATTTACTATTATATTAATAAGAAAACGGCTTAGTGGAAGAGATAGATCATAGAAATTTCATAAAAGAATTTGCAACCAAAAAAGTAGAAAAATAACTTAATATAAACAATATTTTTTCAAAAAAAAATGCTAAAAAGATAAATTTAATATAAATAATATTTGAGAAAAAAAGTTTTTAACTCTGCTTGCTACGGACTCATAGGTTTATAATTGTCACTGAAAAATGAGTAGGATTATATTACACTTTTTTCCTTTTTTTAAGTTTTTTATTATCAAAATGCCTCGAATTCATAACCCAAAAAACGTTGAACCGCCCGTGAATTCACTAATTGGGTAGTGCATTAGATATATATATATATATATATATATATATGTATATATTGGTAAGTGTCTTTCGCTTGTTTTTCAAGTTCAAAGCGAATTTTAACACAATGCATTCACCAGTTTTAATTGCATTCCGTTGGAAGGATTTGCCGTTGGGTTGTTACAGCATTTCTTCTTCATGTCTTGCATTTTTAGCGGTTTCTGGTTAGTAATCATTCTTCAACAATATACTGCACTCGTAATGGGAGTTTGATAATCAATTTAAAAAAATTGCATGTACTCAATAATACTACTACTTTGTCCCAAAAAAACAGTTCAGTTTGAATTTTGAAATTTGTACTAATTTTAGTACAAATTTGAAAACTCAAATTTGAAAACTCAATATGGACTATTTTTTTTTAGGACGGATGGAATAATATTTTTCTTTTGATTGAGGATTTTTTTTGGAACAAAGTGACTACCTAATACTTTTCAATGAAACTAGTCTTTTACATGTCGCGCGTTGCGCGACCAGTGTTTTTATCAAATCATTTTATACCATTCTCGTTATTAAAAGTGATAAGTTACGGTGAATTTAAATTAAATAGAATGTTTGAAAAATCTTAAAATGTTTGACTAAGAAAATGCATACATA